CTCTTCCAGAGCAGTGCTAGTGTTTCTGCAGAATAATTTATGTTGTAAAAGCACAGTCTTATATTCTTTCTGTCTTCTTGAGCCTGATTATCAAAACCTTGAATTCTTTTCAGCGACGGGCCAGCTTCAAGACAGCTTCAAGCTCGATGAAGGTGGGATAGCCTGTCAGTTCCCAGGAACAGGGATATGATGATCTGGGCTCTTTCTGTCCAAAGAAAGCACTTAAGCCCTGTTTCTCAAGGGGAAGTGTTACAGGTCATGCAACCACCAGCATATCTTCTTTCTTCTTCGGTTGTATTTCTGAAAGGTGGTGCACAACACCATGTGCTCTCAGGTAGCTGTTTAGAGGGCATAGTGAAAGAATACCCTGGTTCCGAGTCCTAGGCCCAAATCTGGCAGAGAGTTGCAGTTTTAATCTTTCATAACATTGAAAGGTTGCTTTGTACTCCTAAACACTTTGCTCTCAAGATCTGTATGTATGTAGTGTGCTAAGAAGTTGTAGAGAAAGCAAATAATGTAAAGATGTGTATTGAAGCAGAGCTTTTACATGCACCCTGTCTGCTCCTGTGCAAAACCTGTCAATTTAGCTTAAACTGCAGGGAATGTGGGTTTTAAGTAATTTAAATTTAGGCCTATATTGTCCTCTTAAGACAAATGTAGCTAAAAAGATTGACAGCAGTCAGGTATGAGCATGTAGGGCAGAATGTATTCATTCTCACAGCTTCTTTTGTTCAAGGGCTGCTCAAAACCTGAGGAAATAAGCGCGTGTGTCCGTTTTGTTCACTGTTCAAGTCTCCAGCAGGGGTGCAAAATACACGGCTGGAGGGGTAACTTCAGATCATTTCATGTGACTGGACATCTGTCACTGCCCTCTGTTCTCTGCTGTAAATTTATTTCACTAGGGCTCAATTCTGAGGCATCAATTCAAATTGGGATTCTCCTTGATTTCAGTGGGTTTATATCTGCCTGGGTATTTGTTGCTTGCTAATGAGTCTTAAATAATTGCTAATTAATTATTCTGTGGGCACTCTGCAATGCTGCAGTGCATTAGCAATAACTAGCACCTGGCCAGTGTGCCACTGTCTTTAAAAACAAAAAAATATTTTAAAAAACCTTCCCTTATTATAATCTGGGAGATGGAACAGCAGCCTTGCTGGTACTAATGCTGTTTGGCTGTTGTTGGTAGCACTGTCCAGTCGGCTCGACAATCCTAGTACTGTCTGAGTCAGCTTAACAAAGGATACTTAGGTCTAAGTACAGGCATTAATCATGAAATTAGAGGAGAATATCAAGTGTGTAATTGTCTGTGGCCTTGAGTTCTTGTTCCCATGGACTTGATTTCTCAGCCTCTGTGATCTTTTATTTATTCCTCATTCCTCATCACAGAAGCCATGCTTTTGTTATTTCTAGATGAGATGGCTGCAATGAACTCAAATTTGCATTGCTTTGTAAAGGAACACCCTGAAGCAAATGACTCGGATGTGACTAGTGCTAGCCAGTGGCAGCAAGTAGGAAATATATTATTATATGCTCTTAGCAGCTGCCCTGGCAAACAATTTTCAGATAAATTTCTGCCCTATATCTCAGGTTCTGTATGCCTAGATAATTTTCTCCCACGATACACTGTGGTTACTTAGCTGTTTTCCCTCCTGTTCATAGAATCACAGAATGATTTGGATCGGAAGGGACCTTAAAGATCGTTTGGTTCCAACCCCCCTGCCATGGGCAGGGACACCTCCCACCAGACCAGGTCGCTCCCAGCCCCATCCAGCCTGGCCTTGAGCACTGCCAGGGAGGGGGCAGCCATGGCTGCTCTGGGCAACCCCTGCCAGTGTCTCACCACCCTCATAAATGCCTTAGATGTAGATTTCCGTGCTGGTTTGGACAGGCATTGTCAGTGAAGGATGTGCAGTGTTAGAATTGCCTCTCTCAGAGCTTGCATTTCAGAAGACCATTCAAGGGGCATATCTTCTCTGAGATATCAGCTTGAAGGGTTGATAGTGAATGATATTTGAATTATAGATTATCTCTGTGCTCCCATAAGACCTTGTAAGGGTGTGTATTGAATTTTGTATCCATCTTTCATGTATTTCTCTATACATTTGAAAGAAATGGCATTAGGGCTAATATCTGCAGCAAGTGTGGGCGAAAAATGGCTGGGGAAGAACTGAACAGGAGCTAAATGTACAGGGACCAAGCAGCGTGGCCTAGATATGTCCACTCTGCAGCCTTTGGTCTCCTCTGCTGCATACCTGTGCTCCAAGGCAGGTTTATGATCTTGAGGAGGGTCCTCTAAGTCCAGGGCGTTTGAAATGATGCAAGGGAAGCGTTGTAGCCCACTGAAGTATTGGATTTATGGGATGAAACTGAGGGGGATTTTACATACCTAGGGTGTGATATGAAGGTATATAGGGCTGTTTGAAAGTGCAAACAGGCTCTTGACAGGTTAATGTTGAAGAATCTGTCCGAGTCGAAGGGATGGCATTTCTTGTCTGTGCTGTCTACTGAGAATGGCATGTGCTGTCCCCCAAGCTATGTCTGTGCCTTGCTTGAAGACTGATAGCTGCCTGGGCTGAAGCCGTGCTAGGTAGTATACTAACACTTAATCAGCACGAATGATTAACAGCCTCAGGCCTGAATTAATTCCCTGGCTTATTTTGCATCGGAGCAATTAGAATTGCTTACGTTGTGCTGCAGAGCTTGTGCGTGCCTCTTGCACATTTGGTGTTATTCTGTGGAGATGCTTTTTATTCTGTCGTGATTTTGATACTGAGCTCATTACTTTAATATTTGCATGGTTCCCAGTAGTACATTAAATGATGCAATTCATATTTGCATCAGCTCCCTATGGTGGAAATGTTCACGCTGCAGTGTTTGGTTTTCATTTAAAAGACATTTGCATGTACACATGCACACACCCAACTGCAAATTTGTGTTGGGGAAGACAGAATCAAAGGAATGGGCCTGCTGCTTAAAGTGATGAAGTCTTCTCTAGCCCTTAGTGCTTGAAGGGGTATGTTCTACAGTCCTGAACTGTGAAACTTTGTCACCTACGTGGAATGACTGTATGTTTTTATTATTCATCTGCAGGTGAGCAAGAGCGTTCTGAAGGAGCCGTTTTCAAATTTCACCTGCTTCCATATTCTCCCCTTGTATGGGGTTCCTAAAATACGAATATTGCTAGTTAATGTTATGACAGGCCTTGTGTTACAGCCGGCCGTAACGTGATATGATGTTCTGACTCTGCCACACCAAGACTCTCTGGCCTACGTGGGATTAGGTTCAGCTCTAGGGCACGCTTCCCATTCCTGGTCATGCAAGCCAGCATGTGTGTAGCATTTCGTTCCCCCTCTTACTAACTAGCCATCATTATTTGATCTTACAGATGTATTAATGAGTAACAACATTCTAGGGTGTCTCCTCACATCACACTAAGGGTGCTACGGGAGAAGCTTGGAGAGTACCTGGGTGGAGTTGCAGTTGCAGATAAATTCAAATTCTTAAAATGCATTGGGAAAAAACTGGCAGTGGTAAGTTCATATTTTATTTTTTCTTTAGTGCTTTTCTGCTTTATGATACAAACTCCAGATTTTGTTCCTGCAGATTAGATAGTATCACAAGAAAATAAGAGATAACTTTAGGAGCGCTGTTAGCATTTGTTTTTAAATGTGCTGGAGCCTAAGCTTCTGTCAGAGCACATCTGCTTCCCCAAATACAAAGGCAGAGCTGGACAGGTATATTAGAAATATCCTTTGAAGCATCAGATGTAATTAGTTGCCATCCAGTGAAAAGATGCTACTTTTGACAAGCCAGTGGATCAAACATGACAAATCTGTTTGCGCTGACCTGTCCAAAAGCCTTTAAAAGATCAGTCTCTGAATGAAAACTTCTCTGGATGTACATTCGTGTTCCACTAGTTAGTCCAGTAATACAGCCTGAGATGTATGTAATCAAAAACCTACATCTCTGAATCGTAACTCTTCCTCACATTGATTCTCTCTCTATTTGTATCTTGGAAACTATAGCTAAAGAGTAAATAGACTTGAAAATCAGTCCAACTGAAAGTTTGTTCTTGTAATACACAAAGACATAAGTCACGTACAGAGGTACAGAATACTTTTTTCACCTCTCATTTCACCTGTTTCTCACAGATTTGGAAATTAATTACAAGCTGGAAATTTGATGCCATTCTTTATTTGTAGTTGAGTTATCACTGAAATCACTCACACGGGAGACTAGAATAAATACCAAGTAATATGCAAAAACTAGGTGGAAAAACATGAAGAGAAACTTAAAGACTGTGACCCAATCTAAATCTGAAAATGTGCATATGTCTTCAAAGATTTCAGGTCTTTTTAACTGGATGATAATAAGTAAGATGTTATGTTTTCTTCCCCACAGGTAGTTCTGAGATAAATGGAGAAATTTTCCAGCTTCCTTTAGAAGGAGAGGAAATTAATAAAATATTTTACTTTTAATAGGGTAGATACAAGTGAAGATTGTTGGCGAAAAATTAAAGATATAATTTTGATTTGGGGTATTTACTGTTGCTTGATGTTTAACTTTATAACAACGTGTAAAGCAATAAACCAACTAGCTGGTTTATTTGTTGTTTAGGGTCATGGTAACCTCATTGAATTACGTCTCCATGATCAAATATTTGTGGAGTGGTTGTTTTTTCCCCCCGAGTCTTCTCTTTCACAACAGGAACAATGTAAGCAGTACTAAGAGCTGTACCCTTCTGGCGAGTGAGGGTCTTTAAAGGAAAAATAAACATGAACCGAAATCATGTTTGTTTGCTCTTCCTTTTCTTGCATATAGCCCGTGTCTCTAACAGTGCGCCAGTGGCATTGTCTGGCCATTACTGAGGACAGAGTTTGGCCCCATGTTGAGTTCAATTTCATTATTTAAATGTAAGCTCAGATTTTTATAATTTTTTTTTTTGTGATGGAGCACATCTTTCAAATACACATTGATTATCTTAGACTTTGGTTTTGGGACGACTGTTGAAATCTGAAAGTGTGTATCACACAAAGAACATCAAGACAATAAATACAAGGAGACATAGGACAGCAATAGAATTTTTTGTTTAATATATATATGTACACTTTAAATATTTTGCAGTATTGTATCAGGTGACTAGAGAGAGTTATGTCAGACTCAGCATTTCTGTTCAGATTCAGCTTGAAGCAATTTTTGGTAAAGTCAAAGACTTTCTTCTGCTGTGACTGTTGGATCAGGTCCTTTGAACCATGAGAGGAAGTGCAAAAGGTAAAAAAAAAAAAATAAAATTTATTCAGTACATCCATGTACTCTGGTGGGGCGGATTGAGATCTTGAAAAACTGACAAAATAGCATTTCAGTACCGTGTCAGAAAATGGAACAGTAGCCTGTGTCCCTTCTTCCCCTTGAGGCCGTTACAGAAGATAGTGCTGGCTATGGAAAAATGTAGTATGAAAAGATGATGGTAGAACACAGAAATTAAGTGATATGCAACATTATTGATAAAAAGTATTTTATTGGTTAGGCCTCCGTTCTTTATCTTCCAAGGTGAAAGCAAAGCAAGAAACAGAACTGGAACTGAAGTCATTTGCTCCTCCTTACGTATGTATTGAGTGGCTTTTAAAGTATAATTTTCAGATTTTTTTTACATTGTACGTTTCTTCTTTTGTCCTGTCTGATGAATGTACTGTATATTTTAGGCACTTTACCCTGAATTATATTTATTACCTGGAGTGGAATACTTTGAAGATGTTTATCCATTACCATCATCAACTCAACAAAGACACCACTTTAATACAGAAGCGAATAGGTTTGGTCGTGGATCAAGATTATCCAGCCTTCCCCCACAAAAAACTGAGAAAAGCGAACAGTTTTTGGAAAGCATACAAAGCAGTCATCAGCTGGAAAGTCAGCAAGTGCACGGGCCTGTGGAATGGGGCGAGAAAGAACCCGTTCCAGTTTTGCACACAAAAGGTGAGCAAGACCGTGACAACAGGACTCAAGATAAACAGATACAGTTTCGAGAAAAAGGTAAATTTAACCAATGTAGTGAAGGAGGATGATGAAAGAGGCGGAGAATAAATATTATTAACATTGACAATAACATCATACTTCTGTTTTCTAATATCAATGATTATGCAGATCAAAATGGATCCAGTGGATCTCTCTTCCCACCAAGTCATTCAAATCCTGCAGATCGGGAGTCTGGCAAGAGTGATCTGGTATTACAGAGCTCTCGGCAAAATCGCTTCGTCCAAGATCAAAAAGAGCTTAACGCTCCTAAGTGGAATGGCAAAGCCAAAGGAACTGCTCTCACTCGTCATGTAGACCACAGTGATGAACAAGGCCAGAATAACCAAACACCCCAAAATCACGTGAAATATCAAAAGGGTACCACTGCTCCTTGTCCTCCTTTTGCTAAAGCACGCGTTTTGGAAAGTTGGCAGAGTAAAGCTAAGTTGTAAGAAATCTGTAGCTCAGGCATGAGTTGGAATATTGCTATCAGACCAGTATTCTGATTTTTTTAAATAATGATAATGTCTTTCAAAGAGCTGTAGCTTTACTTTGGATGAGTCCTTTATCACTGTGTACTGATACAGGGAAACACTTCACTATAGTTAAAGCATTTTTCTAATCTTATTTATATGAAATGTCTTATGGATGCTGAGGACCATTAAGTCCCTGAATGGTTATATAATGTTGTTAATATTCCTAAATTTCTAGTGATTACCAAGAAAGAAATGACTGACACATTTAACTTGGATTTGAATGGCTACTGTTGTATTAGCATCAAAATTATAACATCGATTGGTTTTGAGGAAACACTGTTGAAAGACAAGTCTTAATATTTGAGTAGAATTTCACAGTTAATGTAAAAAAGGTGACCTTTGTTCTGTTGCAAATTTTTAATGAGTAATTATTGAATGAGGCAATATTCAATTTGTCATGGGTATGGGCACCTTATAGATTTCAGTTAGAATGATTTTCGGGATGTCCAGCACTTTGAGTAAGAAAACAAAAACTTGGCTATTGTATTCTTTGAGATGTGGCTGGAGAGTGTTTTAGAAAAGGCTTTCATGGGTGGCTTTTCAGTAATTTCATTTTCCAGTCATAATCTGTCAAAACCAGCTTTGTCCCTGCATCATCACATTAACTGATACTAAGTATGAGACGGCTTAATATACAGATACAGATATAGATGTATAGGTAAATGCATAACTGAAAAGTTTTCCATATATTTTGAATGATGAAGGATGTAGGCTTTTGGAGTAGTAAAGGTAAAGGCTGTCAGCAATTTTCTTTTGAAATATTTATTGTATCTATTTTAAGCAGACAACATTTATTCATTACCATTTGAATGCAAAACATTTTGCTCTCCCTTTCTTTGCTGGCTCCGGTTTGTAAGGGATCTTCAGTCTCTGAAAGGCAGAAAGTGTCAGATACAGAAGGAGTTTAGGGAAGGAAGGTGAAATGATTAAGTGGTTTCCTTATCTGTGATAATGTTACTAGTCAGCAGAATTAGTTAAACACGAATTCTTAAAACAAAAATATCTTTTTCTTTCTTTCTTCTGTTATTCACACAAGATTTCTGAACCCCAGAGATAACATTATTTATTGGAGTGATTCACGGAATTTCTAATACAGGTTGGAAAGTCCAGGCATTGACAGTCAAAAGAGCTTGAATTTTGTGAGTGTAATCTGTATCACTATCCTGTCACAGAACTAACAAACGTGGAAAATAACGACCACCAAAAAGATACCAAACTAAGAAGAGACAGAACGCAGGATGCTGGAATTGTTAAAATAATGGAAGACCAAACCACAGAATATGTATGCAAGAAACAAAGGTTAGTAAATAATGATTCTGCTAAAATAATGGATAGTATTAATTCATAGCTAGAAACGTATTTTACCGACTTCAAATAATGAAAGAAAATGGAGGAAAACCCTATTTCATTGTATGAGTTTTCACTTGCTGCTTTGATTTTTATCTTTAGCTTGCAGCAATGCAGGACTAGCAAGTCTGTAGCCGATCCTGGTGAAAAACTGGATTATCAGGTGTGTTTTTCAAGGTAACATATTATTAGTAGTCTTAAGCAATAAATATATCCTCCACCTAGAACCAGTCTGATTTTATAAGATGGGTAACTCATTAGAAATATGAAATACTCAAATGTAGATTTGAGAGTAATTGAGAAAATTTAATCCATGCACTGCCACTTAGCAGATTTGCTGATGAAAAATCAACTATATTTCTAAACAGTGAAATCATCAGAAGTTATACCTACATGTGCGATAACTATCTCAGTCTTATTGGTGTTAGCTGATTTTTTGTGTTGCTGTTTCTTGACAGTAACATTTCATTGTTTTTATCGGTGTCATTTTCATAATTTTGTATTTCCCATGGGACAAATTTGTCTTCTCTCAAGCCAAGCAAAACTTCTGATAAAAACTATAAAATCCTCTAAAACATACATACGATATAGTCATAGTATCAGAATAAGGACATGCTTAGGAAGACTCAGCACCCACACGCAATCATAGAGCCTAACAGCCGCCCCTGTTAACTGTTGCCTGTGAGCTCTTGTGCAGAAGTGATTGTAGTGGAGTGTTACGAAAATAATAATGCAGTTGAAAGTCTGCTATTATAAATTTTAGCGTAGAAATTGGCAGTCCAGACTTCGTGAGCAATGAGCCAGACAGCACTTTCAAGGCCCATTATTCCTGGTTTTGCATGGGAGTGTCAGTACCTGGTGGGGTTATGGCCACGGACAAGACCAATTAGCAAGACTCTATGGTTTTGTCTGTGTTTTCTCTGCGAGGTAAAAATGTTTAGTGTTCTGATTTTAGTTGCAGAGGTCCAGGTATTCATAATTTAGTAATCATTGGTAGTGGTAACGGAACAAAAAAGGCTTATATGCAGAATTCAAATTCAGCCTCCCCTTCTCTCCAGCCACTTTCAGGGCACATGTCTGATGTAACTGCTCAGGATTATGAGTTATGCACTTACAGTTGTGTCTTTTGTCTCTATAGGCAGATGGAAACAAGCAAAATCATCGTACTTGTCCAAAAGAATATATTTCGCCTCCTAGTCCACCTTTTCTGGCACTTTCTGTAAATCCAGCTCGAGTTCCTGCAATGCAGGCAGCGAGTGAGTACGTGGTTCCAAGAAATTGCAGGGCAGTGAACATTCGGTCAAGACTGAATAGTTAATGAAGACAGAAATACCTACTTTGTGGTTGAATTTGTACATACATTCATTCACAGTATTGTTACAAATTTTAATGTGTGGTTGGAAGATTCCAGGCATTTATAATTGCATGGGCTGTTCGTAGAGCGTGGCAGGTTCCCAGCTTGTGGACTTGGGGATGGAAGGAGAAAAGGAAGGAAGGAGATCGGATGAAATACTGCTGGCTCAAGGGAGGACGTAGCAAAGAAAACCACTAATAGTATTGCTGAGGATCCTCTGCTACAGTGGAGGAGGAGGATAGTGAGAAGATGAGTGACTGACCTGTTGTTGCAGACTAGTCACAGTCCAAGGGACTGTCCTGCCTGTGACCAGCTGGAGTTTTAAGGCAAAATTTCGCTACAGTTTATATCGTGAAGTGTTTTGAGCAAGAAATAGTCTTTTGGAGGCTTTTTTGGCTTCATGTGGCAAGAGTTTTCAATGTATGCAGTGTGTATATATATCCTGAATATATAGTTCTAGTGATACATTGTCTATAAAAAGGTGTTTATTTGTTTGTGTATGTGTGTGAATGCCTGGATGCATGCTGGACTTCTCATTTTTTTCTAATTTCAAGTCAGAGATCATTTATTAAAATAAAATATTTCCTACTGCCTGTTCTGACAGAGCTTTTGGCATGATTTATGATGGGTGAATTACAAAATCTTGATTGATCCTTCTTACTTATCCAGATACTTGATAAATATAATTATATCTTTAGAAAACAAGATGGTAGAACAGTTGCAACAAATGAAGACAGACAGAAGGCACATGGAGAAAACAAGAGAAGAACTGATCAAAAAAGCAAAAGGGCTGCTGGAACAAAACAAGCTGAGGAGATACCATGGTACACTTCTAATTTATTTTGGAATTTGGAGTGATTGAGAAATGACACTGAAACCAATGTGAAAATGTTTGTCTCCTTGTCAGTGAGCTTAATTACAGAGAGAGCAGTTCGCTAACCAACGGCTCCGAGAAGGCTCATTTGTGTGACAGCATGCTGGAAAGATTCGAGGTTGCAGTGTTTCCTTCTGCTTTTTTGGGGCAGTCTTACAAATCTAAAAATGTCCTGGCTTTTAGAAACCATTCAGGTTTGTCCCGTGTACGTGCAGTGCCCAGAGAGCTACCGGAGGCCTCATGGCGGTTTGAGGCCCAGGACATCTTCCAAACCTGCCTTTAGCTGGTGCTTACAGAGGTTTTTCATGTGTTGACAGGGCTTCTAATTAAATTGCCAGCATAATGCTTCTTGTTCCTGCTATCTAATGGTATTCAGCTTATGGCATGGAAGGTATAAGCCTGTCATGACAAGCTTGACAGACCTTGTTTTTTCACAAGGTAAAATCTCATTGAAATCCCACCCAAATTGTCTTTGTAAAATTATTTTTAAGTTTATACTTAAACTATCCTCCCTAAGTCACATTCCAGTTAAACGGAGATGAGGTTTAATCACTTTGATGTTTTGAGAACATTCTCTTTGTACTTAAACGCAGCTCAATCACTGGGAGACTCAACTATTAGTTGTAGCTCTGTTGAAAGGAGAAGGCAAGCCCATTCTTCCAGTTATTCTCTAAGGGCATGGCCACACTGCACTCTGCAGCATGGTGAAGTTGTATTTAAAAAAAACCCAACAAACTTGAGTACTTGAAGCAGCGAATGTGTAGTAGCACGGAGCTGCAAGGCAAGCTAATTTACCCTGCTAAGCCCTAAATGGCTCCTGCGTTGTCCTAAATTGTGTTAGGTAAAATAAAGGTTATTTCACAGGGATTCCAACAGCTTCTGCACGTTCTTTAAGAAGCGTCTCTCCCACTGAATTGTTTTTATCAGACCTGTAAGGTTTCCTAAAGGTGTTGTGAAGGGAAGAGCATGTTCTGTAGGAACAGGGATCCAGTCTGCAGGCAATGGCCTCCTAAGAGTGCTGGGCTGACAGTCCCTCTCTGTGACATACCATATAGTCCTCCGACAGCAGGGTTCTTTTTGGTAAGCTTCTGAGAAGCAGTTGTCCTGATTCCCTAAAATATGCCTTGAAAGAAGGAATCTTTTCAGACACTTTGCAGACTAGTGGATGTGAGACTGCCACCCCAGATACAGGGGGGGTTTATGTGCCAGCTGTTGGTAGCACATGAACAACACAGGAGGAATCATGGTGAAGCGTAAAGGTAAATGTTTCCCATGATCTTGGGACTTCTGTGTAAAACTAAGCTGTTCTCTGACCCCGCAGAGCTCAAATTTTGCATAAATGTACAGTGCTAAATCATTCTGCTGCAGTAAAGCGGTGGGCTTCAGACTGTGGTGGCCGTACCAGTCTTCACAGGGCTGGAGCACTTACTGGGCAGCTGAAACCTGCAGAACAGCCAGGCTGAATGAAATTTTGGGTTTGGACCTTGGGTTATATCTCGGGGGACAGATAGAGCCTGTTGTTGCAGGTGATTGTGTGAAAATTCAGTTGCATTTATAGTGAATGTCATTTTAATGAAGATTTTTCACTAGTTGCTTTTTCTTGAAGAAACCTACTGCTTCGTTTTAATGTGTGCAGTGGCCAGCTGAATGTTGTGAGACCAGTTGGTCATTACTGTCTTCAACAGACCTTATGATAAGGTGAACAAGACCAAACAGTATTACTGTTTTCCTCTGTAGTTCGTGAGGAATGGAAAAAGAAGTACTTTGAAGCTAAGAAAGCTACCGTTTCGCTGGAGGACGCTTTAAACAAACTGCGACAAGAGTTAGAGCTTTACCACCAGAAATTACTCTTGCAATTGGAAGCCAGAGCTGGCCGAAAGCGACTAAACAATACGACAAACTCCAAGGTATTTGCTTTTATCGTTTAATCTCTCTTGTGTTGTTCAGTTCTATATTGTTCTCATCATCCCAAATTTCACGTACAGAGGTAATGAATTCTCGTTTGGAGGACACGAAATGTGTCTGAGGCTTTTGGAGTGGTTGCACCTGAACTATTGTGCAACCGTGAGTCTCATGTGAGGTGGTTGGTGTCAAATCATGGGAAGTTCAGAGAGGAATTAAAAATGAAAAGATAAAAGAGGGAAACACCCTTCCCAATAGTTGTTTCTGCCAATTTTCTAAATGCCTTAATGGAAGCAAGTCTGGTGGCAAATCTGAAGCTAGACTGGGGAAAAATAAATGTCCTTTTCTTGTATCTGAAAGGAGGGCGAGTGGATGTACCATCTACGAGTGTTTGTTATGTACAAATGTGTATTATTTGAGCTATCTTAATATAAATATCTACAATATAAACTTATTAATAGCATTGATATTGCATTGTATTACTAGCTATGCTCAGATATGTTATTGCTCCTTTGGGGGGGATATCGGGGTTTTTTTAGGTCCCTGTGGCTAGGCACAACTTAACACACATACATCAGTAATTTATTGTCTGGCTCCCACAGAAGATAGCCAGGATTTAATGAGCCGTTAGGCTAAGCTCAGGTATGCTCCCCACCCTTCGTAGGCTACGTGCTGGCCGGGCAGGCAGCTGTCAGGATCCAGGGAACTGAGCCTGCTGTTGCTGGTTTCCCCTCTTCCACCAGCTTTGTCCTCACTGGTGATTCAACCCAACGGCACGGCGATGCCTCAGTAGCCCCCAACGACAAGTCTGACGGCCCTGCGTGGTTCTTTCCTGCGTGACTGAGTACCTTTTGTGCTTTCTCAGCGGTCCGAGCCAGGGTGACGGAGCTGTGCGGTGTCACGAGCTGGGACTTGGGCCCTTGTACGCAGGCAGCTACACCCCTGGGTGGGAGAAGCTTACAGCAGGAGCTCAGAGATGAGAGGCTACAGATACCACTTAATGACTCCTTGTATGGGCAACTTGATCGCATCGTTTGCTTCAGCTGGCACTTTAATCGCATTTTTAAAGGCTTGGAACAGCAAGAGATTACCACATACACCCCCCCCACACCCATCAGGGTTACTGACTTCAAGGGACCACGGTTGACTTACATGAGCCGAGTATCAGAATCTACATTTGGAAAAGGTGAATTTTAGTTTTGCAGGTTCATTCAAAGATAGGCCCACCACAGCTACTGCTGAAATGACCTGCTGTATAACCACGAGTTTATCTGCACGAGTGTAGCATCTCATCAGTAAGTGTACTGTGACAGAGTGATGCTAAGCCTGTGAGAGGGAAAAAAAATGGGATTTGAAGCATGATTTTTTTATTAAATGGGGAGCAGCCATAAGAGATAATTGCAAAACAATGTGCTGTTACTCAGGAGATCTGATCTGCGTCTTAGCTTCCCAAAGCGCTAGGGAGTGGAAGAATCTCTGCACCCAGCTGAAGGGCTGGCAGCAGAGGGGAGCTGCCCTCTCTTGGAGAGCAGACTGCTTACAGACCAGAGACAGCCCAGCACGTGTTAAGGCCCAGCAGAAAGCAGAGGGGTTGGGAAGAGTTCAGAGTATTGTTTCCAAGTGGTGAAGTAACGCCCAGTGAACAAAGAGATGCTCTAATGTGGCACTTAAAGTGGTGGTGTTGTTGTTGTTTCATTTAGAATTACACAATCATCCGGATTACTACAGTGCAGCATGAACTTGATCAACTGAGGAGGAAGCTGGATGATACAAAAATGAAACTCATAATAGAAATTAAGGTACTCTGCCTTTTAACTTAAACAGTCAAAATGTTACTAAAAAACCAAAGATCTTCTCAAACATTAGATGATGTAAGTATTTGCTAAACAGTTCTTGTTTTAAGCTGTTTAGTTTTATGGTGTTAGTTGTTGTAACTTTATCACTTGAGCCAAATTACTCCAAGTTATTAGATGATTTTGAATGCATGGCATTCAAGCAACTTTGATTTTCAAGGTGCTATGCAAGCTAAGCTTCACAATCTCCTTCGTAAAAATTCCCATTTCACTCAAAAGGTAATGGAAGGAACATCCTTGGTGAGGCACTGATCCCTAGTAAAAAAACTCCTGGTATAAAGAAAAAAAAAGAGAATGGCTCTCTGGGCAGATGGCAGTCCTCTTCATCTGCTTTATTCCACACCAGTGCTGCCTATGGCTCCCTTTGGAAGGAAGATGATGGTATAGGCCTTCATACTGGATAGGTTTTCAGCTCTGAACGCTTGAAATAGGAGTCCTCTACCCCACAGAGATCACCCCTGCCCCTGGTTACTGGGTAATCTGGGGTGGATGTACTCGTTATGCCTCCTCCATTATATAACAAGGAGTGGAAAGAACGACTTTCACAGTTGTCTCTTAAAAACACCGAGGCAAAGTACAGAAGAAAGCAGTGCTAGAACTAGGCTATCTCATTAGACATGTACAATTTTAAAGATGAAAGATGTATCCTGTGTTCAGCTACCCTGTGTAAAATTCAGTCTTACTTATATAAGCCCATGTGCATGTCAACTCCAAAAAGTTCCTTAAATTGCAGCGCCTTAAATTACTGCTTCTTCTGCAGATGAGAAAGCAGGCAGCGTCTGATTTACGAGCGCTGAGAGCGGAACTGACACAGAAGAAGATTCATTCAGCTTTAATTCTCCAGTCCAGAAAATCAGGAATTTAAGAAGGTGACAAGACTTTAACATCTGTAAAGTCTACAGAAGCTCTGCAAGGTATACAGAAGCTCAGAATTTCAAAGCATTTCTTTGTACATTCTTGAAGTTCCCTTGTAAAAATCAACTACATAAGTGTTGTGGAGTTTGTATACTAGGCTACTGAAGTACTGCAGCTCCCTTTTGAAATCTCACTCTTACTGTAAGATGAGTCAGCTACTTGTAGTTAAACCTAGTCTAAAACAAAGCCAGGTTATTTAAAAGTGCAAATTAGTGAACAGTGTAACATCAACCACATTGGCACGCTGATGATCCTTCATTAACAAAATACCTGCTAAGCACATAAACCTATAATCTATACCCTCCTGTTCTTATTTCCAGGCATGCACATTAAATTGCCTTTTAGGCCTAAATGATTAACACACATCTTCTGTAGAGCTACAGCAACAGTAATCCTTTAGTTAGCTATTTACTGAACTCTATTTCTGTCGTTAGGCCTATCTATAAATTACCGATGTATTATTACCATATTATTACACAGTATGGACAAAATTTCAGATAATTGCACCTTATTTCATATCTAGCTGGTTTTGGTCTCTCTCATCTTAGGAAAGCCGCATGGACATTAACCTTCTTCTGTAGTTGGAGGAAGAGGCATGCTTTGTCTTGGACAAACTGTAACGATGATCCTGGTCCAACTTACAATATTGAGTACTCTGTGTTTCTTTAAACTCACACATGTGCTTAGATAACAATTCTCTGAAAGAATAATCAGAAACCTCTTTGTGATAGTGACTTTTTTCTAGCTCTGCTGTTTGCCTCTTTGCGGTACCAGATGTTACTACGTTAAGCAGAACAATAACATGCCAGGAATTAATGTCAGCTAAAAAGCTGACAAGGATGTGTGTATTACTGGAAGTGAAACACTCATGGGAAATCAGTAATACGAGAAGAAAATTAGGCAACTCTCAAAAGGACTCACTTCCAAATGTCTTGAGTCAAACCACCCATTATCCGGTTTATTTTCTTAAAGATAGGATTTAAGGAAGATTTTAAGCGCTGAAGTATTAAATTAGTGGTTAAAACTACACCCACTTTTGCTCAATCCTGGATTGAATCCTACATGCTGTGTTTCAGAATTGTGTCTTAGTTAAGACACAAGAGCAGGCACCTAGCTATGGGAAACTCTGAACCTCAATTAAAAATAAAAAATCTCAACTCATGATTCTTGACTGCTATAGGAAAGAGTTCTATTATAAAGTCATCTGGCCTTCTGTTAGGATTTTGTGGGCCAGATCATCTGCTCCAGAAGACCTCTCAATTTCTCAAATACCTGTCTCACAGTATTCCAGCATGTGAATATAAATAGCAATACAAATTCTGAAGTGTCTATATGTTAAATAAATCGATCAGTTTCTCCTAAAACCTACAGACTGGCGTTCTGGTGAAGAGCCCTCTGATTCTCCAAGGGTTTTTTTTTCTTTATGTGAGACTTCACCTTGTGCTTTCCATCGCCTGTAGGATCAAGCAGGCAGACACTCATAAAGTCTCCTCATCTTCTCCTCAGTAGCCCTTACGGTAGTTCTGCTATTCCATGGTGTTTTCCCAGTAACTATTTAGCAAGGAAAAGAAACCAAACCAAACAACAACAAAAAAACAAACCCGCAACTGACTACGTGTATCTCATTAAATAAACTGTTTAATTAGTGGAGTCACTTAAGCAGGGCGCCATTGCGCTTTAATCTGGTTGTGAAACAGTTCTGAGCAGCAGTGTGGGCTGTAAGCTGTGGAACAAGTAAAGCGTAAACAGACCACACTGTTTACCAGCCTGTGTGAAGACAACAGCATTTGATTTAACAAAAAAAAAATGCTGTAAACACCAGTCAATCTTTCCATCACTACAGATACTTTAAAAAGTTACACAACTTCTCTGGACAAATTACTTTATGAAAAATAGGAACTAGAAAGAAAATATAACCTCACATTATCTCAGAGGCAACAGCGCATAAAACCAAACAACAGGCTACTGGATGAATCTTAAAAGTGTGTGGAAAAATACCTATGCAGTTCCTTAAACAGGTTTCTGAGTTTTAGTTCTCAGGAAGTAAAGACGTTTGAAATGGAGGAAAGCCTCATCCAAGCCCTTTCCATATTAATGTTCCCTCTTCAAGGTAAGGTCTAAGATTTTTGGCTTTCGAAACTAAGGATTTTACGTGATACGTAACACAGTGAAACTGGAGTTTATTGAGTATTCCTTTCTGTCAACAACAAGTCTGATAAAAATCATAATGGCAACAACTACTTCATGTTACATAATTTCTTTGGTCTATAAAATATTTTAATCTCTAGAAGAGTAACCAAATACAAGCCCAAGTTTCACCAAGCTGCACGTAAGCAACAATCTGTCTCTCCAGCATTCTGCGCTTCATCTGATTCAAGAGTGACTTAGCTAAAAAACAGGTTGGGGTG